TTAATTGAATAATGTTCCTTGCTTAAAACTTTAAGTTAAACGTGGTTTCATCTACATTCTCGCCAAGGGACTAACTTACCTGTGCTTCCACGTTTATATTTGTCGTCTTTCTCTCTGTGATGTAATTTTTCTCTATATATAATATTGACGCCGTGTTGTGAGCTGTGTTCTGTACGAAACAAATCGAAGACTTTCCAAACTTACACTTTAATAAATTACATTTCTTTCTTCAGCTGACTCGATAACTTTGCTTGGGATTTTGCCTACAAAGTCCACGGGTTACGTGTTAATCGTGTTATAAAGAGCGATTATTTCCTTAAACGCCATTAACCAGTTGATCTGTGTAATGATGACGGGTTGTGTTTTCTTTGCGGTACGTACACAATTATGAAATAATATTTAGATGATCTTCGGGTTACGAAAGATTATCTGCGAAATTTTCATCTGTCCCAACAATCCTACACATTTGGCCAACGTCCTTGATTTGATTACTGTAATAATTACATAATTACTCAATTTTATCCATACGTTCAGTCAATTAAATAAGTATTGTACAGAGTGTGGACTGGATCTATCTTTAGGAGGATAGGTTATAGCGAAGGGCTCTTGTCAACACGGTATTAAAAAACTTCTGGTTCCATAAAACTGGTGGACTTTTTTCCCACCTCAATGACTATTTAGTGTTTATAATTAATAGAAATAAAATTCTAATGTAGGTTGTCTTACTTGCTTCTAAAAGCTTTCAGGTCATAATCGAATTGAAACTGACGTCTGACGTAAGATCACGCTGACATTCTAGTACAAGCAAAACTCGTAGGCTACACTTCACGCGAGCGTAGTTTTTCCTAATGATCTTATATTGAGTGAAGCATGAAGTGGAGACGGTTGTCAGAGAGGTGTATTTTGCCTCATGTACCTCAATTATAATATTTCCCGGAGAATGAATGCATGTTTTGTGTGTATGACTCATGACCAGATTTTGGTTTTAGAATCTGATTTAGAACCAGTCAGCGTTCCAGCTATCATTCACAATTTAATTGACGTTGAAGGAGGCAAGTGTTAGTTGGTAGCTGTTTTGTTGGTGATCATTTGGTGTCAAGGGATTTTGGACCTTATGAGATAATATTTGTCAATGTTATAACCTTTGCAATGGTAATGTTAAGGGATTTTGTTCCTAATGGAATAATATTAGGTGTAGGTGTGACTTATCGGACAGTTGGCTCTTCCCAGGAGAATCTAAAACGAAAAAGAACTGATAGGCCAAGGAAATGCCATTTATATCTGTTAGATGTTACTGAGTTACGTCATTCCCTGTGAAAAGGGTAATTCTGGGACTTTAAGTAAACTGGAATAGGAATCTGAAATATATGTAAATAACAGGACAGTATAAAGATCTAAGAATCTAACAATAAATATCCAATAAAGTAGTAAACACAATGTGTAGTGTAGTTAAATATATAAGGAATATAGTAACAGGAAATTATATCTATAAAAATAAGGAAGACGTGATTGTTTAAATTCAAAACTTAAAACGTAGAAACAAAATTGTATAGACTCAGGAAAAAATAATTCCTATCTTGTGAAATGTAATGTTGTTAACTGATGATGTTTTTTTGTTTGGTGTGCTTGAGAAAGCTCCTGAGTGATGCTGAATAGAGAACATATGTGGGTTGAATTTATATAACATGTCTGATCAACTTTATTGTCAACAAGGCGTACAGTAATTAACGGAAGAATAATACAACAATAATGAACGATAAATAAAATATTTATCTTCTCGTTCACAATTTAGTGTCATGTGGTATATTCCTTGCTTGAATTTGGCCAACATTTTTATTTCCCTTCAATCAATTTTTGTCTTTTGTAGCGTCTGAATGCAGCGCTGCGTGTATCGGAGATGATCCAAAGAAGGATAAATAACGACGATGTATGATCATTTTACTAGTTTTCGATCGACGAAAAGCAATAAGACATTTCTCAATAAAATAAATAAATATAGAGGCACCGATTTTGAATAAGGTTAGTTTCCGTCACTCGGACTGTGTGCGCGAGTCGAGGCCGGCTTCGTCGATATTTCGATCTCGTTGCGAGAGTTGGCGCTACGCTAAAGCGAGCGTGCGAGCCAGTGAGTTGATTGGAAGACTGTCGCCGCCAGTTGGACTCGAACCGCCCAGTTCGTCGTGTGTTTCAAGTTTGTTGATGTCTTAAGGCCATCCGGCTCAGCATAACTGGCAGTTTTTGTTTTACGAGTTCAGACTCCGGAAACTACGCGTTGCTTTCAGACTCCATGACAAAACGAAAGAACAATTCTCTGTCGTTAATGTGCGTGTTTCACCTTCCTTCTTCAAGTGAATAATATATACATCGATGTTGTTATGTTCCTGGATGTTGACCTAGCAGTGGCTACAAACTTCATGGACTCCAAGATCTACGTGATTCGTCATTATCGAATTCAAAAATAAATGTTCTTATTATTGTTAGTCGTTTAGTGAACTGTAACTCAATCAGTTGCCAGGTTTATTTTGTGGATTGAACAGAAGGGAAAGTTTCAGTTGTGTAAATACTGAAGTCATTACCAAGACCTTAATGCAAATCTAGTATTGTTTCTTCGATACATCGATATTTATTTGTGTGCATATAGAAACCATTTGAGAGGTGGTTTTGTTGTTACTAGCAAACTTCGAAGATGTTTGTACAACAAATATGTGACCATAGAAAGTACTTTATTAAATTACTCTCAGTTTTTAATTTGAAGTCTGTGTAGCGTGCTTCATACATGTTAATTTAGAATATTTAAATATTGCATTTAAATTCTTAAATACGTCTCTATGCGTGTATGTTAATAGTTCAGCCTAATGTATGCAAACTAAAATATTATTCAGAATAATGTAATTAGTGACGTAACTGGCGGGGTACTGGATTATTCTACTGCTTTGATTCTCTCATATTTTATTTTATCAAGTATTACTACAAGGTTCAAAGTGTTATGGAATTAATGTGAATGGATCGTATTTAAAGTTTTCGGAATGAATTACGAAATGATCTATGATGATACGCGCCCTACCAATGGCGATCTCTTATTGTGTAATGAAGTTCGTGTGAGTGTCACAACAAAGTTGTCGGTGAGAAGACTTGTTTAAATTGTGAATATCTGCTTTTGCAGGAAGATTTGTAATAATCTGAACCCGCATTCTTAACGATCTGACCAACCATGATGGCTGTGAAGAATAAAACAACACCTGCGCGTGGGAACAGGAGAGTGAAGACATCAGTTGTCTTCATCCTGATGCTATTATGTCGAAACTCAGGTAGGGTGTCGTCAGAACTACTACTGTAACTTACGTCTTAATGTTTTATAAGAAGTGTAACTGTTTTATTTTACGCGTATTTTACCACACTTGGAAGAGCCATTATAGTATAAGGAACATTTTACGTTTACCCTGATAATATGTAGTTAAGATTGTTAACAGTTAACGTGAATGCGATTCGTTTATAATGACTGATTCGTAGATAAATATAGACTCGTTTAAAGGTTTTTTTTGCAGTATAATAGACCTAGTTTTTTTCGTCAAATTTGGCACACATATGCGCTTAAGGTACTGTAATGTAAAGTAGCATGGGTATAAGCTGGGACTGTCTTAGCCTTTGAGTGCGTCTTAATCTGTTTCCACGGTGTACCACTTCATTAAACGTGTATTTGCTGCAGTGGAAGGTGGGAAGAACGTGGGGAGGTTAAGAGTCTCTGTGCTAGGTAATTAATAATAAGAATAATGTTAACTCCCTTGCAGTTTTAAAGTTTGTAATAAAAGGGGTAACATTTTTTATTACACGTAGAATATATTTAAAAAAATTAATTTTTTACTTTCGATTATTTTTGGAAAGATGTGTTAAATTTCATCCAGGCCAAGTCGAAAATTTTATCGTGATTACTGATTTATGCAGGGGTTTTATTAGAGCTTCCTTTTATTTATTTCTGTTCGTATTTAGTATTTAATTTTATTTTAAAATGTTTTTTTCTTAGTTCTATTGTATGATAATTCGTCACAGTCGTGGAATGTAGAAAGAGCATTTAACCTCGGAACCTTATTCCCATCTGTCATCCACTTCTAGCAGTAGGTTGGTTAGTTGAAGCTAGGTTCTGATTGGTTAGGAACGTATCGGCAGATGGTAGTCAGTTCACATGGCATCACGTTACAGTAGAAAAAAAATTCGTAGTGACGTTTGGGAATGTTGACATTCAAGTTAAAGAGGAAAGCAACTGTATTGCGCTGTTTTATTCCACAATGTATGGGGCACATAGCTGTGCGTATTTCTGAAGTTATATAACCTATTATTTATAGTCGTGGGATTGTTAAATTTGGATGTTATATAACTGGAAAGGTTGCTTTATCCTAAAGTTTACGAAAACTGGGTTTGCGTGTAACGGATAATAAAGTTCAACTCAGTATTTATAATTAAACCAATTGAATTTTGCACACAAATGGGGGGGGGGATGAAAAATTGTTACCAATCAGAAGATATTGCGTATTAAGCAGGGAAATGTCGATCTGAAATCGATATTCGCTGATAAGTTTTCTATCTCATCTTGCACACATACATGCGCGCTCGCATAAGCCGATATTTGTTTGAACTTTGACTCTTTCGCGTAACTACGTTTATTCTTTGGCAAAACTGATAATGCGTGCTACAGTGTTATTGGGAATCGATTTATACGTTATTTATTATGCTTCGCCAACCACGATATTTATTGTGATGGAAAGATGGTTATGAATGACGACTAGGTAAAGTTGAAAAATACAGTATTAAATGTTTCAAGGTCTTATGCTGGTATTTGCGTGAACGGAATGAGGGAAGTCGATGTTTCCCTGAAGATGGTGACGGTATGTTTCTCCGAAACGTTGTTAACAGGTATACATGCCGTTACTAACCAGAGACCAACATCGACGTTTCACCGCCTTGAGAACAAGGAAACGTAATCTTTTACGCTCTTTTGATGTGTCATGCCGTGTAGTTCCAGTTGACTGTCACAGTTTGGAAAGTCACTGTATGAAGTCTAATGGCTTATCCTTCGTTTTACGTTAATTCTCATTTCGCCTGAAATGACTTTATTTTAGTCGAAAGCAGAGTTTCAATTTGTGTTCTATTAGTCAAGTCCTGTTTGATAGACAAGATGACTTGTTTTAAGATGGCTGTCTTCTGGGTTATTTCGCCGTGTAGCCTGATAGAAGTTCAGCATCGTTTCAGAGTTGCTTGCTACCTCCATCATCGCCCCGATGATGGAGGCAGCAAGGACGTTTGAAACGTCGGTAAACCCAGAAGACAGCCGTCTTCAGACTTATCCCCGTGAAAACCTCAAATCCTGCATGACTTGTTTTATAATATTCTTTCTAGTCAAACCTTAAGATATTTAAAATATTTATTCCGTGTATCTACCGTATCATAGCATTTCTAATCGTCAGTGTAACTGAAACTATGTTTTTAAATAAACATGAAAGGGTTTTTCGTAACGTAAATATAAGTCTTTTAATTTTTCTTAACATGTTACTCAGTCAACTCTACAGAAATCTCCACACGCCTTTGATGTAACATCTTTTTCGTAACGAAATTGTTGCGTCTTTTAACAACTTGTTGACTTTAATATCCATTTACTGCTGACACAAATATAACGTTGTAAAGTTCATACAACCGTCAGCTATCTCTCCGGCTCAAATACATAGTTTTCTTAGTGTCATCTGTGTTTTGTGTATCAGGGCAGTGACATACGTAGTTCTTGCACGTATATGCTGGATTCTGGAGAGCAGGGTTGAAACCCGGTGAGTTGAAATGAGATACGTCGTGGTCAGAGTGATACAGACACAGGGTTCTCTCCGAGTTCGTACGTTTCTCTTAGTAATGATTACAATCGTTTGATTCTCGATGTGCAAATAATTTAAACAGGACCTTCAAGGGAAATAACTCTTAAGATGGCTGTCTGCTGGGTTGTTGCGCTGTGTAGTCAGGTCGATGTTTACCAACGTTTCAGAGATCATACTGCCTCCGTCATCAGGGCGATAAGTATGAAGATTTCTGTCTTCTGGGTTGTTGCGCTGTGTAGTCAGGTCGATGTTTACCAACGTTTCAGAGATCATACTGCCTCCGTCATCAGGGCGATGAATTCATAATTCTGTGTTATATTCAGTTAGAATTAATATTTGTAACTATGAACGTATGTCTGTACTACGTTTTTGATCTAGGAGATGTATATTCTACTTCCGAACTCAGGGACCCCATTTCAGCTGATTATTTTCCTTTTGTCTGTTCGGCTTATCCTCGCCCTCCCCAAATATAAATTTAGAACGAATTCTTTGTTATTATAAGTGGCTTGTGTCGGAAACGTATTCCTTACAGACCGCTCAGTATTTCAGAAACATGTGGCAGGCTGTTTGTTGATGGTGGCGATACTTGGTATCGTATTCCACGGAATCTCGGTTGTTTTTTGTTTTTGTAGGATTTGAGGTTATGACGGTGGTGTGTCTGAAGACAGCAATGTTTTGATTTTTGTTACTTCACGTGAAATTCGTAGTTGATGAAATGCCAGTCTTTCGAAGGGTTTTAGGTTTCGATCTTCTTCTTATCCTACATATTTCCATCGGTCTCTGATATTAAATTAGACTGACCGATTCGTTGGTCTGTTAGCCAAATTCTACGCTGTATTATATCAGTTGTGGTTCCCGTAGAATTATGAATATGAATAAATTTGTTATTCTGAAAATACGAGTTAAACTCATACACGAGGCGTAGTTATTAGACATGCGAAATACGCTCATCGAGTAAAAAATAATGGAGACATCATTCAAATACTATAAAGGTATGGCAGTTTAAGTCTAACAGAAACTGGGTTATTAATAGAAATGAGGAACGGAAAAGGGAAACCTCCGAAATAAGATTTTTAAGATAGAGTAAGAAAGAAATGAATTTTGTCTGTGGAGCAGAGTCCTGGTTGAAAAGGTAACAGTCGCTCAGCTGATAAATAAATTTTCCCGCCTTTTATTTAACGTGATTTTCATTTATGAGAATCGCATAAAGCAGTCTGACAGGCTAATGGAGATATATTCTTCTACAAATCACACGGAATTTTAACAAGAAACTTATTAACCTTTGCACCAAACGTTTTTCGAAGTAATATATAATAATTCAGTCCGTACCGCAAAGAAAGCACTACACTTCAACATTAGACAGATCAACTGGTTAATGTTGTCTAAACAATTGTCTCTGTTTATGCAAGGTTAATGATTTTTGAAGGAGGCGATAAGGAATAGTCACTTATGAGCTTTAAAGGTTTCATTATGAAGATTTCTAATGCTGTGCCTATATGCTGTCTGATTATAATACGGATTTGTAACAAATAAGGCACGCGCTATTGTCGATGTGTTTTACACTTGTTGCGTCAGTTAAAGCGGCTTATTACTGCTGTGTTGTCTTTATGTAATTCAAGTGTAGCAATACAAGAATAATGTTTAATTAATTTATGTGTGACAGCATTTTATACTGGTTTACTAAACAGTCTTGTAGATGGCTACCAACGTCTTGGAGAAACAGACGCTTCCATCATCTAGTCTGAAACGTCGTAATTCAAACACTGATGTGTTTTCTTCTGATTTTATTTAACCGAACGCCAAGAGAATTTATAACACTATATCGAGATGAACTGTAAATTTTAAAACAGCTGACAGGAATTTGCTTGGAAAGTTTACTGGATATGGTTGCCAGGTTGTCACAGTGAACGTGATTTTACAAAGGCACTGAATTCAGTCTTCTCGTGAAGCGAATTTAGTTAGCAATTTTGGCTCAACAAACGCAATTAAGCGAGGGTTTGTTACGGTCGGATTAATTAGATGGATAGTGGCCTGGTCTTTAAAGCAGTTCCTCCTGGCAGATATAATCCATCTTCTGTGGCTGCGTTATAATTGTTATGTAGCAAACAGAAAGACCGCTTCGGACATGAAGGTACTTGTTGAACTGCGTGTGTAAATTCTCAGTGTTCTATGGTCGAAAACACAATGCAGAAAATTAATTCAAAATTTAACATAATTGAGAAATTGTGAAATTAAGGAGGTCGAGATTCCCGAAACATCTACCACGCTCACATGAGAAATACACATCAATGCGTTCTAGACCTTGGTATCAGACGGAAGTGAATAGTTAACTTCGCGGTGTTACACCGACCTCCAATGCCCGCTTGGATTTAGTAGCAAAGAGAAACTTGTTTACCCCGCCGGGAATCAAACCCCCGCTATCGAGTCTGTAACCTGTCACACTGTTTAATGAA